GGTGAGTCAGATGCTCTGCGGTGTGCTGAGGAACGGGCCTGGGAAGGCGCCTGGAAACGGGGCAGCGAGGGGAACGTGTGGCGTCCATGGCAGGAGAAGAGGGCACTTACTCCGCAAACGGCCTTGCAGAAAACACTTCTAGGAAGCCGAGAGGCTGCGTTAGAGCCCTAGGCCCGCTCTAGCCAAATAAATGAAATGATATTGTGGGGGAGTAACCCCTTAATTACCGGAGCCTTGTTTCCCCTGCCGGAACACCATTCTTGAGGGACACCAGCATTTCGAAGAGGGACACCAGAGGAGCACGGAGGATTGGGAGCTGGGGCTGCGATGACCCTACTCGGTCACGCCGGCATGTGACGCAGCTGCCGAGGGGTAGAACCGGCTCCCACCCTGTGCCCGTCACTGGGGGCTACCAACTCACGTCTTGCAAAGAGATGCCACCTGCTTCCTCCCTAGTCACTGGCTCCCCCGTCTGCCTGTCACACCCATTGTCCTTTCTCTATTCATTTTTGTTGTTGGTCGCAATGGACCCGAGTCCCGAAGTCCAGACCAGATGTTCCAGCAGCCCTCTAGAGGGGTCGGCATCGTGGCCTTCGGATCGGGAGGTTGGCTCCCCCAAAGGGGTGGGGCCTCTGACAGAAGGGGCGGGGCTTGGAGCCATCAGTCCTCAGTGCCTAGGGTTGCCAGGTGTCCGTTATTTGTGCCTTCTGTCTGGTAAAGAAATGGAGAAAATACCGGACATATAAAATGTCGTATTTTCTGCTTTTCCCAGCTCGGCGCCCGATGGACACGCGGCAGGGATGGGGGGAGTGGCACGGGAGCAGCAATTAAAGGGCCTCTCCTGCGCCCCGCTGCTGGAGGCCGGGGAAGTTTTGTTTGGTGGGGACACCGTCGTTCGAGTGTATTGCCCTTGTTTGAGAGGCAGCCCCGAGGGAAAGGGCTTTGTACCGACCAGTCAAAAATCAAAGTTTGCCCCGTGGTCCTGGTGTTTACAGGTGCAGCGTAGAGCACGGCTGTCTCCAACGCTCGGCTTTATTGGCATGAGGTGGGGCTGTCAGCGAGGACTGAGATTTTCTTAATCCTGCTACCATGCAGAGGGTTGGACTCGATCATCTCTCGAGAGCCCTTCCATCCCCGGTGTGGATACGAGTCCTAAACCGATACAGGTCGATTTATTCCCATTTATTCTAGCGCATGCCGCCTCCATGCATTTGCGGCTGGCTTGCCTGCCCCCTGCAGGCAGCCGAGGGCCATCAGGACACGTTCCCCCCGCTCGCTGGCCTGGCCCAGAGAAGGAGACACGAATTCTGGGGCTGCTTTCGGGCACCTTATTGGGAAAGGCTTCCTGGCATCACACAACCTTTGCCCAGGTTGCTGGCATTTTTGTTGTCGTGGAAGATCCACCTGGGACGGACCGGGCCGGGTGTGGGCACCGCGGAGGGCGTCCGCTCAGGGCGAATTGCTCAAATTCGGGGCTCTGTATAGCCCCCAGACTGGAGACCTTCCCAAATAGGCCACAAACCAGTCCCACAGAGCACTTCAGCAGCCTGCCTAGCCAGCCAGAAGCCTCACAAGCAAAACCCCTCCGACATAACAGCTCTCCCCATGCCCCAGATGGCCCTGGGCCGCATAACTTTCTTCTGATTCTATATATGCTACTCATGTAATTGTGGAATGTCTGTGTGTGGAGTTATAAATATGGACTCTGTGTTGATGCTGAAAAATTCTCTGTCTGAGGCAGAGCAATGGGCCAGGACTGTTTGCCCATGGACATGCTAATGAGCAAAGCTCCAGGGAACAATGGACCTCTGGAGGCCAAAGACACACCTGGCCACTGGCCACATGACTCCCTCCAGCTTGGAAGAAGCCAGGAGGGGATATACATATGCCATGTGGCCGACTCCATCTGGGTGCTCAGCTCAGCTCTTCATCCCAAAGGCAAGAGTGCGGGGATCGAGGAGCTGGAAAGAACTATGGACCCATCCTGACATAGAATGTACACCAAAGACTTTTAAGCCAGAAGTTATAACATCTCTGCCAGAGCCGCCATCGAGAACTGGGAGATTCGATGCACGTAACAACCTTACTCTCAGGCTTTTCTTTTTTGTAGTAATAAACCTTTAGGCTATGTCTAGACTGGCATGATTTTCCGCAAATGCTTTTAACGGAAAAACTTTTCCGTTAAAAGCATTTGCGGAAAATCATGCCAGTCTAGACATAGCCTAAAGGTTTATTACTACAAAAAAGAAAAGCCTGAGAGTAAGGTTGTTACGTGCATCGAATCTCCCAGTTCTCGATGGCGGCTCTAGCAGAGATGTTATAACTTCTGGCTTAAAAGTCTTTGGTGTACATTCTATGTCAGGATGGGTCCATAGTTCTTTCCAGCTCCTCGATCCCCGCACTCTTGCCTTTGGGATGAAGAGCTGAGCTGAGCACCCAGATGGAGTCGGCCACATGGCATATGTATATCCCCTCATGGCTTCTTCCAAGCTGGAGGGAGTCATGTGGCCAGTGGCCAGGTGTGTCTTTGGCCTCCAGAGGTCCATTGTTCCCTGGAGCTTTGCTCATTAGCATGTCCATGGGCAAACAGTCCTGGCCCATTGCTCTGCCTCAGACAGAGAATTTTTCAGCATCAACACAGAGTCCATATTTATAACTCCACACACAGACATTCCACAATTACATGAGTAGCATATATAGAATCAGAAGAAAGTAAGCTTTCGTTTGACACCTCACATGACCCCCTTTGTACCAACTTTTGGGGCAACCCCCCAATGGGTGCAGCACTAATGTGACACCCCCATCTGAGTGGCCAGTGGCCACGTGTGTTACCGAATGGAGGCCTTTTGGACTCAGACCTCTGAGCCATTTGGGCTTGCTTGGGGTCCTCCATTTGCAAGTGGCCACCAGATCCTGCGGGCCCCCCGATGGTCCTTTCCGCAGCAAGTGCACGGTGCACCAGCTGTGCTGTGTTTCCAGGCAACCATGTATGCCTTTGCCTTCGATTGGCTTCTGCTGGGGAGGGGGATGGAATTGTAACCAAACCGTGTTCCGAAGAGCAGCAAGTTGCCGACGTTTCAGGTCGGGGCTGTCGAAACGCATCAGCCGGCCGCCAGCTTCCCTCTACATCCGCTCCGCCCCGTCTCTCCCCAAGCAGGCGGCCGGCGCAGCGGGAAAGGGTTAAGCAGTGTTGTTCCTTGTCACGTGAGGCTGGGAATGCGAGCGGAGCACGGACCTCGGGAGCCGGAGAGGCACATCTTGACTGCACATGTGGCCCATACCACAAACACTTCAAAGTGCTTCCCTCAGACTGACAGAACAGTCTGACGCCAACTGTAAATGCCCTTGACACGCAGAGTGGAAAATATCAAAAGCTTCAACAGTCGCCTAAAACGCAGGCTGTTTTCGCTGGGGAAAGGCCTTAATGAACCTGCGCTGGGGAGGAGGAGGAGGTGTGACGGATGGTTGTGATTTAGCTCTTGTCCTGGGCCACGCCAGCATGGGCAACTGGACTTAATTGGATGCAAATCGGCATGCTCTAGTATATTTGGAGTGGGGCTGGGCCATCCATTCCAGGCCACGCTAAAGACCTGCTGTCTGTTCCCTCGTGAATGGCAAGTCGGGACAAAAGAGTTCCCAGGCTAGGATTCCTCCCCCCGCCCAGTTTAACCCCTTCCTCGCTCCTTCCCCTCTCACCCCAGTCTCTCATCCAGTCTATCTGCATCCCACTCGCTTCTGAAATGGGTTAAAGTTGGACACCCTTTCAAGCCGGAGACCTTCTCTATGGCTCCCCAAGACGGTGATCAGCACCGTTTCCACTCTCCCTGGGTCTTCATCACACCATGAAAGCCAACATGAGAAGCACTGCAGCCTGGTGGGTGTCCTAGGACAGGGGTGGGCAATAATTTTGGATGGGGGGGGGCTGCTCCAAGATTTTGGTAAATGGTCATGGACTACACTTTTCTATGGAGGGGGTGCAGGATCTAGGAGGGAAGTCGGGTGCAGAAGGGAGCTATGGGGGACTTTTCTATGGAGGGGGTGCAGGATCTAGGAAGGAAGTCGGGTGCAGAAGGGAGCTGTGGGTAGGGGGCTGGGAAACCGGAGAAAATGTGGAGTCTGAGAGGGAGTTTGGATGAGCTGGGGCAGGGGATTGGGGGGGCAGAGTCCGGGAAGGGGCGTGAGTGCGGGAGAGCATTAAAAGAATTGGCCGAGGAGATGTACGAAGTATTTATGTTGATTTTTTTTGAACCTCGTGGAACACTGGGCGTTCTAAGAGAATGCACAAAAGCTCATGTTGGACTGAACGTTTTAGAAAAGGGGGAAACAGGATGACCTGAGACATGATAAGCTGGTTAGTCTTGCATCAATCATGGGAAAAATCATGGAAAGGCTGTTACAAAATGAGTGTGTCTTAAAGTCAGCATGGCTTCTGGGAAAATAGAACTTGTGAAACAAAGTTTTTATCATTTATGGTGGAATTACAAACATGGTGGGTAAGGTAACTGTAGATGTGCTGATTTTTTTTTTAAGCGTTATGCTATAAAATCAATGCAGTCCCACTAAATGCATTAGAGACAAGTTAACTGATCACAAATAGTCCCTGAAAATGGTGAATTGTTATTTGCTGAGGGCATTTCTTACGGGAGTCCAAAGGGATGTGTTTGAATGCTATTCAATATTTTTATTAGCGATCCAGAAGAAACTACAAAAGCGTTGCTGGTAAATTTTGTAGGCAGCAAAAATTGGGGAACCATGGAGACCCCAGTTATACACACTCATCTGGATTGCTCAGTACATTGGGTGCATTTGAGCAATAGACGTTTTTGTTCAGCCAGATGCAAAGTCAGGCAAGTAGGAACAAAAAGTGGTGTGTTGTCTGGAGGCCTTATCCTACAAGATGCTGAGGGACCTTCCCCCTGCTGGATGTACCTAACAGCCGTGGGGATTGTGTCCCGAGGCGTCGGGAGGTGATGGCGACAGAGATGAAGGCTGTCCTTGGAATACCTGAAAACGAGACGGATAATTAGCACAGCTGCCAAGTGCCGTGAGAACTATGTTGTTAACCTTTTAGTGCCTTCCTCACATTTCCCTCCATCCTGACTTTTTGGAAGCCTGAATTTTAGCTCCCTCGGCTGAAGGAAGGTGTCTTAGGCTAAACATCCCAAAAACTGAACCTCCTGCCCCCAAATCCATGACCACTTTTGAAGACCTGGCCACTAATTTTTCTGTGACTCCATATCTCCTCTGTAACAAAGGAATGCGAACGTCTCCCGGAGCTGTCAGCGGCCTCCCTTGCAGATTTCTGCAGAACAATTCAGACAAACGACCGAAGCCACTTGGAGGTGTCCAGGGCCCCTCCCACAGACAGAAGATGGCCTTGACTGTGAATCAAGATAAAAGACCATTTGAGTATAATAGAGAACGTCACAAATAGGGCTACTCGGTGTGACCATGGAGTAGCAGACTGCACCTGCTCTAAAGAGTTGACAGTGTAAATAGACGAGATTGACTTGGAGGAGTGGGGCAGAACAACCCAACGGATTGACCCATGTGATGCATTCACAGGAGTGTTATGAGCAAGACACGAGAAGTCATTCTTCCGCTCTACTCTGCGCTGGTTAGGCCTTAGCTGGAGTCTTGTATCTAGTTCTGGGCACTGCATTTCAAGAAAGATGGGGAAAAATTGGAGAAGGTCCAGAGAAGAGCAACAAGAATGATGAAAGGTCTAGAGAACGCAAGCTATGAGGGAAGACTGAAAGAATTGGGCTCGGTTAGTTTGGAAAGGAGAAGACCAAGAGGGGACATGATAGCATGATACTTTCAAGTATCTAAAAGGGTGTCACAAGGAGGAGGGAGAAAAATTGTTCTTGGATAGGACAAGAAGCAATGGACTTAAACTGCAGCAAGGGAAGTTTAGGTTGGACATTGGGAAAAACTTTCTAATTGTCAGGGGGGTTAAACACTGGAATAAGTTGCCTAGGGAGGTTGTGAAATCTCCATACCTAGAGATATTTAAGAACAGGTTAGATAGACACCTGCCAGGGACAATCTAGATGCTGCTGGGTCCTGCTATGAGGGCAGGGGACTAGACTCGATGACCTCTCGAGGTTCCTTCAAGTTCTAGTGTGTTATGATTCTATGATAGCAGCCCATGTCATGTTGATTCCACAATTTTTGCATGTGTGTGGGGGGGTAGGGGAGGTTGTTGAGTTAGGAGGGGGCAAGCTAAACAGAAAGAAAAGCGAGAGAGAGGGGACACTGGGAGAGACGTGGATTTAGACTATGGCGAGTTTTCTCATGGCACGTCACATAATGGCAAGCTGGCGTGGATGGACTTGCTCATGGGTATTTAATGCGAAGGGTACTGACAACACCACACACCTCAAACCTGTTGACCGAAAAAAAAATCGCTGAAAATATCGAGGCACCAAAGGTGCGCTCTGAAATATTGAAAAAAGGCCTTGGGGAAGCAGACAAGTGGGCGGAAAAGACCTCTGGGATGGGACGTGGGTAGACGCCTGGCAGGAAACGACTTCCAGCCAAGACTCTGCAGCCCAGCAGATCTGTGTACGCAGGCTGGGGAGAGTTACGTTTCTCCCTCCGGTTCTGAGAGGCAGCCGAAATCGGGTGATGACTTCAGCAGATGTGCCTGTCAACAGAACGCCGACAAGGAAAACCAAGAAAGAAAAAACATCTCTCCCTCCCCCTTTTTTCCCCTTTTGCTGACTATGCCTGAAAGGTGGGGCTGGGCCCGGAATGCAGCCTCATGCCAATACCATCACTATTAAGGTGTCATCAAAGAGGAGCGGAAGAGCTGACGCTGCAGCCCGCAAGCCAGGCTGCCCCTGCCTTGAGCGCTGGCCTGGAACGTTTCAACTTCCCTCAGGGCTGTTTTCTTTCTGTGGTGAATTTAGGGCCGGACGGTCAACATGGGAGACCTCTATTCGCTCTGTTGACAGTCCAAAGAGAGGCAGAGTTGGCTAGGCCATGAAGGTAGAAATTCCCTCTCTTCTACCAAGAATGCCCCTCAGATACTTAAATTCAATCGATGAACCAGCAAGGGGAGCGTCTCCATGCCGACCCCTCGATGGCTTTACATCTGGCCGGGGGTGAAGGAGACATTAGTTCTTTCTCGTCTGAGGGGGCCGCCCAGCGAGCCAGGTGGTGCCCAGTTCTGAGGGTGTTTTGTGGTGTGTGTTTCTGCCCTCTGGAAGTGGGACTGAGAATGGTGACCCAGGTGAGAAGTGTTGCTGCACCAAACTGCCATCCAGTGGGAACAACTCCGGGTGACGGAGTGAGAAGTGTTGCTGCACCAAACTGCCATCCAATGGGAACAACTCCGGGTGACGGATGTGGACTCAAGGGAGACCTGCCCACCCTCAGGCTTTGGGAGAGTTTGGATCTGGACCCAAACTTATCATGTTGGCTCCTTTCTCAACAGGGAGCTAGGTTGACCCTTCCCCATCGGTACTGTCCCTGAGTCTGGAGAAGAATGGATCTGGACTCAAAACTTGGCCGTTTGAGCTTGTCTCTGATCACCAACAGCCTAGACCCAAGGAACTTAAACCTAACCAATCACAAGCAACGCAAGTTGCGTCCAGTCCCCTAATCTTCCTGTCTCCCATACATCAAACTTGTAGCCAAAATTCTCTAAACTCGGAGCCTGTCCGTGAACACCCAACTATTCTCACAGATGGTAACGGGAGCAGCTGAGTGTCTCTGAATTTGAGCCACTAACTTAGGATCCCCGTTCATCAAAGCATTTCGACGTAGGCTGAAGTCCCATTCGGAGGTGTAAGCACAGGTGTGGTGTGGGTCTGATTCAGAGAGGGTGTGAACCAATCACGATCATCATAGCTATCAACTTCCTGTCTACCTGCCCTGCACCCTTTCCTCTTCTTTTCCAAATGCCCCACCCCAACCCCGCCTCTTCCCCCATCTCCTCTCTGGAGCGCACTTCCTCTTCCTCCCTCCTAGAGCATCCCGAGCGCCACCAAACAGCTGTTTCATGGAGGGCAGGAGGTGCTGGGAGGGATGTCGCCAAGATGGCAGCCATCAGTCTAATTGTCTTGCTGGATAGGGGTAAACTTTGAATGGGGACCTAACTCCCTAAAAATGAGATTGAACCTAATTTTAGGGCAACTCCTTCTAAGAAACCTTGGCCTCTGTATATCAAACCAGAATGAATGTTGTGTGTGTGGCTTAACACACAAAAATCCTGTTTAAAACATCTGGGATAGCACAATTCACTTTTGTCCTGTCTCAGGTGAAGTATATAATTTTATCCCAATAATTATCACAATGCATCTGCCCGGTTTTAAGAAAGCGCAGACTGTTTAAAGTAACTCCAGACGTTTCACTCCAAATTCTGTCGCATCTATTGTGAGTGAAGGGTGGAAATATCTCATGAAAGGCAAGATAACATCACATGTGGTTAAATAAGCTTTGATTTCTAAGATGGCAACACGCATGAAATATGTACAGATCATATGGTTGTGCTAAAATACTTACTGGGAAGACTTTGGACCCCTTTCCTCTGTCCTACGACGTGCCTCCGTCTGTAGGCAAGATACTTTAAAAACAATTTAAAATTAATTTTGCTTTCAAGCCTTTTAAAAACATAGTTAAAAAAAACCCTCCTATTTGTTTTTGGTTTTTTTTCAATGGGAAAATGTTCACATCAGGATTGATTTAATTTTTTTCCCCTTTTGAAATCATAAACAGTCCTACTACAAGAAACAGTAGCTGTTATTGATTAAAAGTTCATTTGTCTTGTCTTTGCTGCTGATTGATACCGGGGAAGGAGAGATGGAGGGAATGTAAAATTTTGCAGAGGGGAAGAAAGTGTGTTACAAGTTGCCCGTTTCTTAGAACAATGTTAGTTTTGGAAGGTTTGTGGATTATGCGGCATAATCTTTTAAGGTTCAGTAAACGGTACTCCAATTTTTATCATTATCACTCAAAATAACGGCATGATGCATAACGAGAGCAAGCTGATTGCATTTCCAAATGGGAGTTTTATAACCCGCTGAAGGAAAGCAGTTACTTACTGAATAAGACTGAGCCGTTTCCAGTTGCTGATTTTAAATGCTTGCTTTTAGAAGTGGCATGAGCCACACTACTTAGCAAAATGTCTATCAGAGATTGGGATAGGTTAAGCATAGCAGAGCCTCTTGCACTGCATAACTATCCTCGAAATGTTGGTTTAACTAACACGGATAAACCAGTCCACATGGAAACAACAAGAAGTCTTGCGGCACCTTAGAGCAGGGGTGAGCAATCATTTTTGAGCGGGAGCCACTTCCAAAATTTTAGAAGTGGTCGCGGGCCTTGGACGGAAGGGGCGGGGCCTTAGATGGAAGGGGCGGGGCTTTTAAATAGCAGGAGTTGAAAGGGCTCGCATCTCCCCTGCTGCTCCCGGACATCACCTTAGCCGGAGATGGGAGCTGCGAGCCCTTTCAATTCCTGCTATTTAAAAGACCCGCCCCTTCTGTCTAAGGCCTTGCTGCTTCTGGCCTCGCTCCTCTCATGTTGCCTGGGAGCTGGGGACACCTGAGCCCTTTCACCTGTTCCTATTTAAAGGGCTTGCGTCTCCTGACAGGAGCAGGGAAGGTGCAAACCCTTTAAATAGAAGCAGTTGAAAAGGTTCGCACGGCTCCGGCTCCCAGGCAATGCGCAAGAGGGCGGATCGGAACCCTAGGCAGGCCGGATCCAGCCCGCCGAATGGCTTTTGCCCACCGTTGCCTTATAGACTAACAGATTTATTTGGGCCTAGGCTTTCTTACGTAAAACCCACTTCATCAGATGGAATGGAGTGGAAATCACAGAGGCAGGGGTGTATATATAAGGAAGAAGTTACTTATGTTAATGAAGCTCACCAAATCAGGGCGGAAGTAGCTCGTTCACAGCATTGGGCATGGAGATGTGAATATCCAGAGAGGGGAAATTGCCTTTGTAGTGTGTTAACTAGCCCAGATCCTTATTCAGTCCTAAGCTGATAGCCTTGAATTTGCAAATGAACTGCAGTCCAGCTGTCTCCCTTTGTCACCGGGTTTTGAAATTCTTCTGGCCATCCTTTTCCGAAAGAATTTCAAAACCATCTCACGAGTGGACAATTCAACTAGCAAGGCTCACCTGACCTGATAAGCAGCCGGAAATTATATTGGAGGCTCACACTGCTGCTTGATTGCCAGACACAGATTTGCTCTTGGAGGTAGCCACACAACAGCTTTGTTAAAGAGCTGGGCAGGCGGTAGCTTATCTGCTTTGATAAATGGTGGTGTCCACAAGAGGGAACAGCACTTCCTGACACTGCCCTTCTTCAAATAGACTCTGGTTTCGGTTGATCTCCGTCCACGTCTATACTTCCATGCCAGAGATCGATCTTCTGGCGTTTGATTTAACAGGGCTAGTTAAGACCTGCTAAATCGAACACTGAGGGCACCTCCGGTGGTCACAAGGAATATAGGAAGCTGACGGGAGCATTTGTTCCTGTCAACCTCCCACTGTGAATATGGCACCAAACTTGGCTTTAGGTATGTCAACTCTATGTTATTTATGTAGCTGGTATTGCGTATCTTAAGCTCATCTTCCGGGTTGAGTGTAGATCTGGCCTTGGTGTAGGATCTGATCCTCCTAGGATGACTTACACTAGCTGAGCCGCTGGTCTGTAGAAACTAGTGCTGGGTGAACCAATGGGTTAGAATGGATGTTGCATTGTGCTAGAACTATTCTGATTGGACTGTTAGCAGAATGGTAGCCTGACATCAAGACCAATGTGAATCCATATGCAAATTTCATAGAGAAAGGAATGCTGGGAGTTACCTTAGTGCTACAGACTAGCCTAAAAACTATCCATTCATTAGTTAGTCTAGTTAAATTTTTCACAACATGAGGGGTTTCCCCTCCATCTTTGTATATGTCTGTAGAAACTTGCCATCATTCATACCAATGGGGCTGTTTTCTTCGAGACACTTTTCATAAAGCTGGTTATCAATTCACATTTGGCATGTGGTCGCTGTGAATAGAAAGTGCCCCCAAATGATGCCCACGTCTGCAAGATCCCTGTGCCACACATTACATGTGGCTAGCACTAGTGTTAGTCTATAGCCTTGGACAAGTGCTTTTAGTGGGCATGACGTTATCGCGATAAATGACATAAATATCTCTACCTCTTTCACTTTGCATAGCACAACCTGTGCACTAAATGCAGCAGAGGATGTGCAAGGAGAAAAAAAGGCATGTAATTATGTAAATAAAGATAATGGCAATTGCACACATAAGGGCAGAGTTAAGGTTGCATAAGTAATTTTAATTTAAGCTGTTTCATTATGCTTTAGTCCATACAACTGCAGCATCTGGGTTTTTTATTGCATTTTCCCAATGTTTTGAAATCCTTTGAAAGAGGGAAAACCCAACATGTGTAGAAGCATTTCTCGATCGGCGCCTCATGAAAAGGCGAGATTTTATTTAGCCTCGTGAGTTTATTGCTGGCTTTATCATAAAGAGCGTGTTCTGCTTGTTTATCCTCTTAGGGGAAATCAAGTCGTGTTATTTTGAAGCAACTTATAATGATGTAGAAGTAGAGATGGTCTGAGTTACTAATGTGGAATCTGGATCCAAACTTTTGCAATGTTAGGGGATATTTGTATCTCTGAATATCAGCCAGGCCTGCACCTAGTTAACATAATATGATTGGAAGAGCCAGATTTCCAGCTGCTGCAACCTGCCACATGCCTTCACTGAAGTCAACTAACTGACATCAGTGATGGATTTGGCCCCTACATAGCCTTGTGATTTCACAAACCTAGATTCTCAGCTGGTATAACTCAACTTAGCTTCATTTACTTCCCTGCTGCAACAGCAATTTATACTCGTTCTTTTCCAACATGGCGGGATTTTCTTCCCAAATCTTTTCAGAGCTTGTGGCCCTAGTTTATTGAGGTTAGTTGCTGAAGACGGTTGACACTGGCATTTGTAACGGGGCGAAATCAGGTGCCCAACTCCCATTGGCTTTCCGTGGGAGTTGGCCAACTAGCTCTGTGCGGCCCTCTAAAAATTCCACCTGAAGTTCCAAACCTTTTGGGGGTTCACCCTGTTTACCAGCAAAAATGGGCGATGGAGAACGAAGTAGAGCTGGGGATTCTCTGAGGATGAAAGGAAGAAGGGGAGGAAGAGGACAAGGAAGAAGATGAGGAGCCTTCAACGGTTCTCCAGACCTTGACAGCTCCACACATGAGATCCAGATGTTCACCGGCCCCTGCACTGCAAGCCAGCAGCAAATGAAGGCAAATACGTCAGGAGAAGGATGAGCAACGGAAATTGGAAATGTCAGGCAGCAAAGCTTTGGGAACAGGAGTTCTTTCAGTTTGGCACTCGCAAATACAAACCAGGAGTTAGGCAGCACCGTGATTATTGGGGAATCCTTTACCTACTGCTCTCTCATCACCAACAGTACAGATTCCTGGAAACGGGCAAAAAGAGTTTCATATCGATTCTACCTAGCAGATCAAGGGCCTGAAAAAAGTACTGTTAACCTCATTCTTGGCCTGGTAGACTACTAGCCTTTAACCCACCCTTGGCCCCACCAGACCACTGTATCTTAGATTGTAAAACTTGCACTTGCTTTCACTTTGTTTTAAACCTTCTTTTTCAGTCACCGACATCTGAACACTTTGCAAACATTAATTCAGCCTCCCAACAACACTGCAGTAAATAGTCGACCAGCCCCATTTAACCGATACTGTATCAATCCCATTGGCAAGCACAGAGAGGATATATTGCCTCTCTGGAAGAGATGGAGCGAGTTTTCCAAGGTAAATCGGTGGCACCTCTCCCAGTACGTACCATGCCAAATTCCCTCTCCGGTGCAGGTGGTCCTTAGCATGAATACCTAGACGGCCCTATTCATTGTGTGTTGCAACAGAAACATCTTCCGTTCTGCAGCTCGTGTACCAGGCGGTTGGGCAAACGGACAATAGACCACAGAAGCTCCAAATTTGCCTTGTAAGTTCAAGAGGCAGCTCAAGAAGACCGTGCTTGTTGGATGGGAACAGGTGCCTTTCCTCTGACTCTCCTGCTGTGCGTGGCTAAGAAGTGGAACGGTTCTCTTTTCATGACGCAGGAGCTGCTATTGGGGAAAACCCATGATCTGAATGCCCAGTGCCCAGGGAAAGTCATTGGCGGTCCGGTGCCTAGCTACCTGGTGGGTCCCAAGGGTGGTACCTGTGGGTAGGTAGTCAGTGGGGCCCCCCAAGGCCTTCATGTTGAAGGGGTCAGGCTCTTCGATGCTGGGACTCTCTGTGGAACACCACGCCCCTTTGCTGCTCCGGCTCTGTTACTGGCTCTGTAGTGGGGAATTAGCAACGTCCTGCCAGCACGGTTGTCACTGCCCACCGTAATTGAGCCTCACTGCTGGTCTGAGCTCCCTAGTCTGCTGTCCGTGCGCCCAGAGACAGGGGCAGTCTTCCTGCTCAAGGGTTCTTCCTCCTCTGGTGGCTGGGCCCAGAAAGAGCCACAGGGCCCATCTCTTATACTTCCTGTTCCCTTCAGAGGCTCCGCCCTTCTGCTTCCTGCCAGGCAGCAGAAACTTCCCCGGTTCTGCCAGCAGAGGGCATCCGTGCTGGGATTCTCCGTGGAAGGCCACGCCCCTTTGCTACCACAGGCTGTCCTGGGGAAAGATGGGAATGTAAGGACGCCAGGCTGTTCTGCAGTGGCCAAAAGGGCCCGATCAGAGATACTGATGGAATTTGTGTTTGTTAAAAGATCGGATCCTTCCCCCTCCATGCTCGGCCTCTGGGAGACCTTGCCAACTTACTGGCTTTTGAAAAACCCCCCGACTGCACCAGCCGAGACTGGTAACCCTGCCTCCAGGGCCACGGAATGGCCGCTGCATCAGCGTTGGTCCTATGTGTTAGCCGATCTGGGCGCTAGCAGGAGGCCTGCCTTTGAAAGAGCAGCTCTCCATCCCCAACACCGCCCCCTCGCTGAGATCAGATCAAACCCTTCGCTGCTGACATTCTGATTCCTACCTGGATCCGGCGAGCGCCTCTGGACTATAAAAGTTTTGATGTTTCATTCAGTTCTGAAGATTTCAGGGCCGGGTTCGCCTCAGCCCCCGTGAATAAGGAAGGCGGAGGTGGGGGTCGCAATGGGGCAGCTGCTGTGGATTATGCTTCTCCTCGGTAAATTGCATGGCTTCAACGAAATGAGCCACAAACCCCTGGAAGTTTATGACCTGTGATTTAATGCAGCCTCCATTCATTTTATGACTAGATTTGTGTGTATTTACTATCTTATATCACCCAAGGATGGGGGGACGGGGGGAGGGGAACCTCTCCTAATCCCCACTACACCTACTGCTCTTTGGCCGTGGCTTTATAGATAGATTTCACATAGAAAAGGAGTCTGTCTTGGTACCTGTACAGCTCCCATCACCGTGGTATCTGGGCACAGTGATGTACTGATTTTTTATTTTTATTTTTTAATGCTAAGCTGTCCCTTTGATTCCTAAGGGGTTTTCTGGTCCTACTTGCAGGTTCGGGGACTCTGAGGGAAGTCTGAGATCGGTCAGTTTTGCAAAGAGCCAGCCTACAGCATGTTGGGTGGGTTGCTCCTCTGGGCCTTACAGAGCAGCCTGCTTTGTCTCTTCTTGGGCTTTGGTGCTTGTGTGTGAAGGCTCTGGGTTTTCAGAAAGAAAGCAATGTTACCCTGCTGCCACCATCAAGAAAGATGTAACCATTTAGCCTCACAACACGGCGGTGAAGTAGGGCGTTGCCACTATCCTCGTTTTATAGCTGGGGAAACCGAGGCACAAAGGACCACATTTTTGAAAGCACTTACGGGACTTGGGTTCCTAAGTCCCATTGGACTAGACTCCTAAAAGACACAGAGTAAACAAAAATGAACGTGATTACCAGACTCCTGAAGTTGGGGATTTTACTAAAACCCACCCAGTCCACAGAATAGCAGGTTCAGAAGAGGCGTTGTTCCTCGTGGCGTGAGGTTTACAGAAGTCGGACTAAGCCTCCCGTGTAGACGCTCCCATTGTTATTTCGGGAGAACGGCTGCTATTCTGAAATAACGCTGCTGTGTAGACGCACCCTGCGTGATACTCGTGGGCAACGGGAGAAACTGAGGCTGGGGGAGGCAGACACCCAGCCTGCTCCTTCTGCCTGAGACCCCTCCACTGCCACCCGGGTCCCCAGGAGAGACTAGCACCCTTCCACCCACTGTAGAAGCAAGCCACCCCTCTCACAGTGGGCAGCTCACGGCCCTGGCCTTCCCTCCCCTAGCCCAGGAGGTTCCAGCTGGAAAACAGGGGAGAGGAAGGCCAGGTGGTCCGTGGAGGGCACTTGGTATGGGTCCCTCCTGGCCCTGGAGTGCAGGCAGCATCCATCCCAAGCCTCCACTGCCCTGGAAGGGCTGGCGGCACGTGGAAGATGCGCCGAAGGAGGGCGGGGCTGGGGGCAGAGTGTGGGCGGGGCCGGCCGAACAGTCTGTGATGGTTAGGAGGAGTGCTGGCCAGCACCCGGTGATGACGGGGTTAAACGCAGGTAGCTAGCAAGGGTGTTGGCAGGGGGCTAGAAGAACCAACGTGCCTGCAGCACTGAAATCTGAACTGGATCGAGATACCTGGTCTGCTCTTCCTTGGAGTGATTTCTAAGAACAGGGCTGGAGAGAGCAGATGCAGGGTTCAGCGTTACCATGCCGATATGAAATATTGCACATGAACTGGGTGAACTGGGCCTTGAAGTACAGATCAGCACGGATCGTGAGTAGAGGGGAAAGTGGATCTAGTCGCGATCAGGGTATTTTTCTTTAGTTTGGTTTAAACTTCTCAGTGTGGATCCATGCTGTCCTTCCCCCATTCCCTAAGGCTCTGTCTATGCTGCAGGCTTCTTGCGCAAGAAGCTTTTGGCAAAAACGATGCGCTTTTGCACAAGAGAGCGTCCAAGCGGCATGGATGCTGTCTCGCAAGAAAGCTCTGATTGCCATTCACAGAATGGCCACCAGAGCACCTGTGCGTCTTCCAATAGGCTGTTTTTGCGCAAAAACCTTGTTTCCCATCCCCACACACCTTTTTGCGCAAGAGCTCTTGTGCAAAAAGGAGTTATTCCTTATAGAAAGAGGAATACCTATACTGCAAAACTCCCTGTGTTCTGTCGATTCACTGTACATTTTCTTGGGCAAAAACCGTGCTTGAGGTGTGGACACTCTGCAAGTTTTTGCACAAAAGCAGTTGTTTTTGAGCAAAAGCTTTGCCGTGTAGATATAGCCTAAGAATTGTTCCCAGAGATATTCTCTGTGTTTTAATTTGTTTTACTTAGTTGCTCTGTAACGCCTAGCAGCCAAGTCTGCTGTGTCAAGCATATCTTTTGTTTGTTAATAAAAATCACCTTTCTTTAAGGTGATGATTTGATTCTTGTGTCCTGGAAAGGAACAGGGGCTCTGTGTGTGTATTTGCCTGCCTAAGACGGGGCGGTCAGCTACCAGAGACTGCGGCGTGTTTCCAGGAGCGGTCCATGGCTATAGACCGACTCGGCCGTCGCCTAGGACGCCGCCTTCAACGGCGCCCAGTGATGATGTCATGGGGCGCCCGGGGCACCCGATGATGGTGCCACCCCATTGACGGCTCATTGATGGTGTCACCCCATTGACGGCTCATTGACGGCTGTGCAGGTGGGGGCACCGATCACGCGTTCCGCCTGGGGCACCAGCTGCCGCAGCCGGCCTCAGGCCACTCCTGTCTGTTTCTCTCTTACTTTTTTCAAGCTCTTTTGGAGCAAAAGAGCTCGGGGGTACCCCTGGGAAGGAATTCAAGCGGGGCAGATGAGAGTGCTCTGGGGCCGCGGGCAGCGAAATTTCACGGGGCCCCTTCTGTGACACAGCGCGTGCACGGGGCCTCGGGAAGCGCGGGGCCCGGGGCAGCCACCCTGCTCGCCCTGCCCTAAATCTGCCGCTGAATTCAAGTGTTCCCTCTTGGTTGTTAGGGAGAAATCACTTGATGGTGGCGGCTTTTTGGGGGGCCGGGGATCTCCACACCAGTGCATCTGTGACTCTGGGGAATTGTTTTTGTAAGCAGAGCCTATGGAGGCAAGGTATTTAATGTCTTTGTGGGCCCCCGTCTTCTGCATTCGGAGTGTCAGAGTGGGAAACGGCACCGACACGGGCTTCTTATACCTGCCGCAGATGAGGGACTGGAGGAGCTGACCTCTTGAGGTCTCTTCCAACCCTACATTTCTGTGATTTTTCCTCCTCCTGTCCCCCTACGCCCAGAGAAAGCAATCCTGTTACCTACCTACTTAAACAGGCCCCGTGAGCTCCAGGCTAGGCAGGGACGACGCGTGCCGGGAGGGCTGGTTCCAGCTGTGGAGGTGACTCATGTTCCAGCTAGAGGTCATGTCTGGGTTCGCCAGTGCTTGAAGCCGTGCGAGCTGCTCTCGGAGGGCTCGGCCGCATGTGTCTGGCTGCATCCCATCTCAGGGACAGAGAGCGTCCGCAGACAACAATAAGCTCCCTCTTTCCCCGCGGATGGCGCTGGAATGTCCCGTTGACTGCAGGCCCCGCTCTGAGGAGAGGCCGGGGGGCCGCGCCGGGAAGGGAAGGCTCAGCGCTCAGGATATGAAGGGGATGGAAAAGGCTTGCCGGGGAAAGAAAGCAATGAAAAGGGATTAGCAGCTGATGAGGGAGATAGAAGGGCCAAGTCTTCACTCAAGCCTGCCTGCCCCCGAGAGTTTCACAACGGTGAGCTTTCTCCGCCAGCCTTTAATAGACGGGAAAGGGAAAGAAACACAGCGGCTCTTCGGGAAACAGCCTCCTTGCTTCTTTGCTGTGCTAGCCTCTAAGCTCCAGAGGGCAGAACCACGAGGCAAACGTGCTCCTTGAAGGATGCCCGGCCTAGATACCACAGGTGTCTCCTGCAGGCCAGGAGAATTAACCTTCGCCGGGGCCCACGAGAAGGAACCCGTCGATCTCACCAGAGGGACACGCAACCCCCGCCCGTCTCATGACCGAGGCAGGGTCGTTGGCCGCACAGCATTTTACTGAAGAAGGAGCAAAGTCTCCGAATAGCAGAGCAGCTTTCAAGAAGGGGGCGTGCAAGTTCAGGAGGAAGTGCAAAGGAGGTTGAGTTTTATTCACGTTTCTCTCCCTTTTGCCCAAGGACTGGCTCCTTCATTCCTCTTCCTAGTAGAAATGCGCCCACTCTGGGGAGAGGCTGGCATGTGTGTGTGTGTGTGCTGGGGAACGGTGTACCGTAATGCAGCCTCCGTTCTCAGAAACACTCCCCTGAAACCACAGTCACGTTCTCCTGCGACTGCTAACCCATTAAACCTCCCCTTGGGAAGAGTAGCCCTCAGCCCTGCACCCTTACTCTGTACGCCCCATGGCACCAGCGCGGCAGATGCCTGTACTGCCCGGTTAGCAGCAGTGCACGGCTGCTATGTGTCCCACAGGGATGCGGCGGTGTGTCGGGTCTCCGCTGGTCCCCCCGGAAGGCCAGGGATAGTCGGGGGCAGCCTTCGCACAAGCAAAGTGGCTGTTTAGGCTCCTTCCCCACTCTGGCATGATAAATGCAGAAGTGGGAGCCAGCAAAGTACCCCCAAAGCCTGATCTTTCCAGGCCTCGGTATAAAACTTCCCCCAAAATCTTAAAAACCTAGATTTTGGGGATTAAAATCCGCTGCCACCACCCAAGGAATGATAAGAAAATCAGGGGAGAGATCACTTGGGAAATCTCAGGCCTAGAGTAAAAACCTGGACACCAAAATTAACCAATCCCAGGTTAATAAAAGCAAAGAGAAAGAACTTTTATCAGCACAATATTCCTGTTGCAAGCATAATGACTAGATGGGAAAAGTCACCAATTAATATACTCCTGGGGGAACCCCCCTCCCCATGGGCCAAGACTTAATTTCAAAGGAGAGCAAAACCCATTTTTAAATGCACAGATAGCAGATGCCATCTCCCAAACCGTAAAACAATACAACCGAACGGATTTCTCTAACCTTATCCTACCTACAGATAGTGAAGCGTCTCTTCTTGGAGGGAGACGTTCTGTCTGACCCCCTCACTAGCTGGAGAGCAAACTGCTCAGGGACAAAGGAGAGAAACCCCCCCAAATTCCTTTGTCCCGGTTTGAAATTCCTACCTGCATTCCTATTGGCTGAATCTACCTGGCTTAGGGAAGGGACATAGTTAACCCCTTATTTCCCAGGCTGCTGGCTATCTCTCATGGTCATAACAGGAGCCCAGGTTGTCTCTGCACCTCGCCTGCCTGCTCTCTTTGGCTGCAGCACCAGAGCACGAGGCAAGCAGGGCTCTGGTCTCTGTTCGGTGCAGGGCCGGCCCTCAACATTTCGGCACCTGAGGTGGGGAGCTCAAATGACGCCCCCTCACTTGGGCCAAAACTCGGAACGGTCTCAATTCTGCCTCCTTCCTGTTCTGCTCCTCTCATGGCACTGCTCTGCTACCTACATAGGCACCAGCATCGGGCACAATTTTCTACACTCTGGGTCCTCGTGGCGCCCCCCACAGCCTGGCACCTGAGGCGGCCGCCTCAGTTCGCCTCCTGGTAAGTCTGGCCCTGGTTCGGAGGGAGGTCTGCCTCGGTGGCCTGGAGAGACCTGACTTTGTGAATTGGCCCCCTGGCAGCCAGGAGAGAGGACCAAGCGTCTCTCAAAGCCACACAGCTTCCTGGGACATCTCTCTAGGACACCGCAAAGCTCCTTCTGAGAAGACGTACCTGTGCAGGTGTATCCAGAGACACTTGGTCCTACGTCAGAGCTGATGGATGGACTTACTGACCTCTTGAAGTTCCTCCCAGTCCTGCATTTCTGTGCCATGTTCCCCTTTGGTCATTATTCTTAACTGCCCCCAAAACTTGTTGTCCAGTGGTACCTGATCCCCTTCCAGGGGTTGGCCACCTTCAGACCTTTGAAAACCAGGCAATGAAGTACACGCTACCTGCACAAAACAACCTTAACTCTGCCCTCTGGAGTCAGCAATAGCCACTGGAAATGGCTCAATGAGGGGGAAGAAGGGTGTAATCATAAGAAGCCACGTAGAACAACTATAGAAACATGCTGTTGCTTGTCTTGGGTGCCATAGAGCTGAATTCCAGAGTTTATCTGCATGCACTCCAGCTGCATTCACCATGTTAGGTGTAGCTGGGAGTAGCTTGGCAGAGCTGCGATTGTGATAGAAGGAGACCTAGGGGGTGGGGGTCTGAGGTGTATGTGTACCTTGAGGGATGTTTCATTTCAGCTCTGAGTTCTATTGGCTGTGGCATAGAAGCACATACAGGTGGTCTTGCAGGGTGGGGTGTCTCGTCCAAAAATCAATACCCTACCGCCTCTACAACAGCATTGGTTCAGTACAAGAACTGGTTGAAAGTTCTTGGAAAACGGATTTTATTATTCACAGAAAAGAATCACTCCAAGGACTCCCCCCCCCCCCCAATTTTTTTTTCCTGAACAAACCCCAACATTTTGTGGTTAGTGATTGTGGCTTTTTTAACCACCCATCCTACCGCTTTGTTTTCATTTTCCAACTGGTGAAGATTGGACACTTTTGAGGAACAATTTAAGCTGGAAAAAAAAAAAGAGTTGATAAATGCTGCCAGAAAAAAAATCCATTTTTCATCCAGCTCTAAATACCGACTCGGAGCAAAATACTTCCTAAATTGCCAGCAGACATACCACGAAAATTGTTCTCCAAGAAATGACCAAAAGGGAAGGAAAGAACAGACGTGTAGAGTTCTTTCAATATTCTAGGAGAGCATATGAGTTCTCCTGTTTCCAATTCCCCAAGTCTTTCCGGAGCATTGTAGTAATGCTACAAATTTGGTCGTAAAGTTGTGGTTGACTTATAGTTAACACTGTAAAACAATAATGACTATGAAGATACATATTATGACGCATTAGGTTACAGTGATAGTAAATCTGTCATAAAAGCCCATGGCAACCATTTTAGCTGGGCTGTAGGAATTCCATTACGTTATTGATAAAATCTGTGCAACACTGCTGTCTTCTCCTGCACAGAGCTGCTTTTCTATTTTATTATACGTAGTGATTTGGTGACTTGCTGGTCCCTAGTGGTCATTTAGCCTGAGTCTGCACCGGGCCCAGAGCAGAACGCAGGAAAAACGGTTTGTAACTTAGGGTGATAGCCTTCCATTATTCATGTTTCTGCTTTCAAACTCTCATTAGGATGGTTTATTGGAAGTATAACAGGGTCAGACACCTCCCCTGTGCCCCGTTGTGGCTGGGGTGGTGCGGCAATACCCTGCCTCAGTTTCCCCTCTGGGTTCCTCAGTAACTCAGAGGCTTTACCAAGCCCAGAAAAAGCCAGATCTGGTTTTTCGAACATCAGGTTCCAACATAAAGACGGAAAAGGTCTTTCACTGCAGCAGCAAGGTGCTGTCTTTCCCTCTGTTCTTCTAACCTCTGGAGAAGCAATGCCAGATTTATGCCCATGCTAAGTAAACTACATTGTAGGGCCTCAGATTATGAGGGGCTCTAACTACAAAAAATGACTAGTTGTTAGTTATAGCTTCACCTGTGTGCTCGTATACATGCAAATATAAAACTTGATTATTTTTATTTTCACTGTCCTTTCTGTTAGCATCACCAAAAAAAAGGTGTATTATTTTATGGGGCCTCTTAAACTTGACATAGTTTAAGGCCTTAGCATGTCTTAATCCAGCCCTGTAGAGAAGTGAGAAACCTGCCTTCTTCCGAAGCTGTTTTTTATCCAGATCCATCTCTCTCCTTCAAGGCTCTGACTTCCTGTAGGTTCATTCTGTAGTTGATGTGCACACATAAGGTTTGTCCGTAGGGTTGCAACTGCAGGTTAGAAGTCTAAACCTGAAAGGGAGGTGGGGTAGGAGAGGCAGACTTTCCAAATTGGCCTGTGTGCAAACCTGAGCTGAGTGGGAAATGTTTTTCCCATCCCACGAACATTTTTGAGATTTCAGACCAAAAAAAAAATCTGTCTCAAATAGGGATCAAAAAGCTAAATCTCATATTTTCAAGATCCGGAAATCAATCCATCAAAGTCAGTTTGGAGCCATTGAAATGTTTCATTTTGATTTTGACCTTTCCTCCTCCCCTTCCCTCTTTTAAAAACTAAATGAGCTTAAATTTCCAAACCAAGTCCTTTCCAATTGAAAATTCAGAATGTTTGCTTTAAGAGTAAGTCCACATAGTTTTTGTTTTGACCATTTCATAACTGTGTGGAGGAGCAAGATTTATCAAAACCAACCTATTTTTATCCACGTCTATGGATTTGATAAATTGGCAATTGTTGATTAGAAAAAAATTGCGGCCTCGTTAGTGCAAACGCGCTTGTTTACTTTTGGAGAGCAAGAAGGATTTTAGCTTCTTCTTGGGATTAAAATAGGAAAATTACACTGACAATTTGGGCACCTTGTTCAGTTCCTGCTAGCTGATACTGGACATGTAAAATGTCTGGTATTTTGTGTTTTCCTCGGATGGAAGGCCGGTGGGGACATTCTTCCCCTGCCGCATTTTTTTTTGCTCAACAACTTTGGTCTCCTGGGTTTTTTTTGCTCAATTAATTTTTTTCCCCCACCATGTTTGGGATTTTTTGTGAAAGTATCTGGCAACCCTACATGTGTCGTAGTCAAGCACATGACTGGCTTTCCCCAGCTACTTCCAGAGATGCGTCAATGGGCTGGGGAAATGGCTGGCGGGGGTGTGGGGGAGCAGGACACGTTTCGACAACTCACCTGGATCCTGACACTTAGTACTTCCTCCTAGTGTGTCTTCTCCAATCTCAGGAGAATGGGTTTTTTAAACAGGGTGGTGTTCTCCACCTGACTCGCAAGTCGGACGGCTTGGTACCATCCCCTTCCCAGGCCTCTTTCTTGTTTCCAATGCTGGCCAGATCCCTCAGACACAACTTTGGGCCCCAATGAGCAGAACCTGCAGCAATTGTCCTAAGACAGTTAGATCCACATTTTCCCACAGAGCTTTTTCCTGGACACTGCCGGCAGGACGCCAGGCCTCAGAGCTACCGAACCGTGTGGGAATGGTTCGGTGCTAAAGCGCCGGTAATCGCTTCCTGGAGTATGGGCTACGGTTTTTGCCTGCTCATCGGATCAGGCTCTGTGCTTTGCTTGGGCCTTCTCTGCCAGAAACAGGCCCTCTGGCTCGCCCGTAATAATTCCACCCAGACTGCTGGACTCGCCAGCCACTCAGAAAGTCTCGGGGCTGTGAGTTGGCCTCTTCCCAAGGAGCTGCCTGATTCCCTGCGGTCCTAGTCTTCCTTCAGGCAAGAGACCCGTCATGCTATGGCCGATCCCCTTACAGCTGCTAATGCCAGGGGCTGAAGGAAACCCCCGTGTTGAATGGAAGCTCGGTCTTCAGCTGGCCAGGCCCTTTTGCATCACGCTGAAACATCTCATCACAGCGATTCCCTGCTATGCCGAGCCCCGGCATATGGACTAGGCCCCGCTTGGGCCTCACTGAAGCCCTCAAAATAGGGCCTACACAGTGCACAGGCCTAGGCTGGCTCTCTGCACGGAGAGCCCAGTGAATTAGTTTTGTGCCGAACTCCAAACCACTGCCTATTTGTCCCGCTTTCCCCACCCCGACCCCGTCTGACATTTCCAGGAGCCCCTCGTTCCCGCAAAAGGAGACGGCTTTTCCAAAGACGGTTCTGTGGAGGGAGCCTAATGCCCCGACGTACCACATGAGGTGAAAGGAATCTACTGTGCCGGCATATTCCCAAGGCCAAGTGCTCAGGAAATGACTTGGAAGGGGAGGCCCGGAGGTACCATGAACGTCTCATTCCCCTCTAGGATTTTCCATGCGCACATGCGCATTTTTCCCGGCTCGCATGCAGACAAAGCCATATTTGGTAAGCGATTCTGAATCGAGGGCCTGTGGAGGTAGGGGCAGCTGATACAGACATGGGGACTATCCTACCAAAACTGGGCAGAGCTGTTTATTTATTTCTCTGTTCGCCGGCTTGTTGCTGTTCTGCCCTTTGTCACATACACCACAGGGTGTAAACTCTGCCTGGGTTTCAGGGACGTGGAGTTCGGCACCTTGGATTCCCATTCCACAATTGTTTTGCTTATGACAAAGGCCT